TCAGAATGAAAGAGAAAAATCTTAAAGCCATCTAGATTAAAAAGGCAGAACATGTATCAAAGGAAACCAATCAGAATAACAGCAAACTTTTCAGCAGAAAAGAAAAAAATGGGCCCCATAAGAGACTAGGGGCCCATTTACAATGTTACTAAATAAAAGAAATGCCAGCCAAGAATTTCTTACTCCACCAAACTAAACTTCATAAATGAATGTGAGATAAAGTTCTTCCTAGACAAGCAAGCACTAAAGGAATTTGTCACCTCTAGATTGGCCCTATAAAAAATGTTAAGCAGTTCTAAACATGGATATAAAAAAAATGGTACTCATCACAAAAGCACAAGTATGTATGTAGCTTACAGACCATGTAAATCACTCACAGTACTAAGACCACTAAGCAACTCCCCAGCAAAACTATGTCAGGAGCAAATCTTCTCATATCTGCAGTAACCCTAAATGTTCATAGTGTTAATGCTTCACTTCAAAGACATAAAGTGGCAAGCAATTACAAAACAAGACCCATACCTGTGCTATCATTATAGGTGAGACCCATCTCACTTATAATGACACCCATAGGGTCAAAATACAGGGATGGAGAAAGATCCACTATGCAAATAGAAAACAAAAAAGCAGGGGGCATTATTCTTATAGACGATAAAACAGACTTTAATCCAAAAAAAAAAAGAGCAATAAATGACACTACCTAATGATAAAGGGGTCAATTCAACAACAATAATATTCTATTTTAAATATTCTATTTTAAATGTATGCAACAACATAAAGCCATCCATATTTATAATACAATTGCCACTTCACCGAAGACAAGACATAGACAGCCATACCATAATAGTGAAGAACAGCCATACCCCAGTAACAGCTTTAGAAGATCATCAAGGCAGAAAACTAACAAAGAAATACTGGACTTAGATTCAACCAATAAAATTTAAGAGATCAAACAAAATCTAACAAATCTAATAAGATCTAACAGACATCTACAGAGCAATTCACCCAACAATTACAGAACATACATTCTTCTCATCAATGTGTGGTTCATATTTCAAGATTGATCACACACTCGGTCATAAATCAACTTTGAATAAATTCTAAAAAATAAAATAATACCAAGCATCTCCTGTGATCACATCAGAATAAAACTAGAAATTAATACCAAGATAAATCCTCAAAAACAACTTGGTCCTGAATAATTTTTGAATAAACAATGAAATCAAGACAAACATTTTTAAAAAATCTTTGAAACAAATGAACATGAAGACACAACATATCAGAACTTGTGGTACACTGCCCAAACAGTGCTGACAGGACAATGTATTGCACTGCAAGCCCAAATCATGAAAGCATAAATATCTTTTTTGGGGGGCGGTTGGAGTCTCACTCCATCGCCCAGGCTGGAGTGCACTGGCACACTCACAACCGCTCCAGCATCAACTTGCTGAGCTTTGGTGATCCTTCCGCCTTAGCCTTCCAAGTAGCTGGAACTACAGGTGCGCGCTAACATGCCTGGATAATTTTTGATTTATTGTAGAGAAAAGTCTTGCCAAGTTACCCGAGCTAGTCTTGCACCCGTGAGCTCAGGCAATCCACTCGCCTTGGTCTCCCAAAGTGCTGGGATTACAGGCTGAGCCACTGAGCCTGGCCCGTAAATATCTTAAACAAACTAATGCTTCACCTAAGGGAACTAGAAAAACAGGAACAACTAGAGATAGCAAAAGAAAATAAATAACCAAAATCAGAGCACAAATAAAATAAATTGAGAGCAAAAAAACTGTATCTATGGATCAATGAGTTGAAAAGCTAGTTATTTGAAAGGATAAACAAGATAAACAGACTGCTGGCTAGATTAATGAGTGAAAGACAGAGAGATAAAAAGAGAGAGAGAGAGATAAATTAAAAAAAAATACAAAAGATTGTCAGAGATTATTATAAATATCTTTAAGCGTACATATTAGAAAATCTAGAGAAAATGAAGAAATTATTAGTAATACACTGTCTCCCAAGATTGAAACAAAAATATTAAAACCCTGACTAGACCAATAATGAGTAATTGAATTAAATCAGTAATAAAAACCCTACCTATTAAAAAAAGTCCAAAACCTGATGGTTTCACAGCTGAATTCTACTAGTTATATAAGAAAAAGGTAGGATTTATTCCTGGGATACAAGTCTGGTTCAACATACAGAAATCAATTAATGTAATTTACCACATAAGCAGGAGTAAAAACAAGGACCACATAATTATCTCAATAGACACAGAAAAAGCATTAAATAAAATCCATCATCCTTTCATGATAAAAAACTCTCAATCATCTAGAGAGCAAACAAAGGAACCCTTAAAATAGCAAGAACAATTTATGACAAATCCAAACCAACATCATCCTTAATGAGCAGAAGTTGAAAGCATTTCCCTTAAGAACTATGACAAGGCAAGGATGCCCACTCTCACCACTTCTGTTTAATGTAGTACTGGATGTCCTAGCCAGAGCAATCAGGTGAGAGAAATAAATAAAAGGTATCCAAATAGGAAAAGAGAAAGTTAAATTATTTCTTGTCACAGATAATATGATTTTATAACTAGAAACCCTAAAGATTCCACCAAAAGATTCCTAGCACACATAAACAACTTCAATAAAGTCCTGGGTTACAAAATTGGCACTCAAAAGTCACTTGTATTTCTACACACCAACAATATTCAAGTTGAGTATCAAATCAATAACATAATTCAATTTACAATAGCCACAAGAAAGAAATAAAATACCTGGAAATACCTCTCACCAAAGAGGTGAAGATTCTCTAGAATGAGAATTATAAAATACAACTGAAATAAATCAAAGATAACACAAATGGGAAAAACATCCCATGCTCATGGACTGGGAGAATCAACATTGTTAAAGTATCCACACTGCCTAAAACAATCTATAGATTCAACACAATCCCAAATCAAATTGCCAGCATAATTTTTCACTGATCTAGAGAAAAATACTTAAAATCATATGAAAACAAAAAAAGATCCCAAATAGCAAGCAAAAAACCCCCCCAAAAAACCCAAAAACAAAGCTAGAGGCATTACACTGACAGACTTTAAACTTTACTACAAGGATATGGTAACCAAAACAGCATGGCACTGGTACAAAAAAGACGCACAGACCAATGGAATAGAATAGAGAACCTAGAAATAAAACTGCTGTCTTACAACCATCTCATCTTTGACAAAGTTGTAAAAAACAAAAATTGAGAAAAGGATACCCTATTTAACAAATAGTTCTGGAAAAACTGACTAAGCAAGAATGCAGAAGAATGAAGCTGGTCCTCTTTCTCTCACCACATACAAGAATTAACGCAAGATGGGCTAACGACTTAAGTGTAAGACCTCAAACTATAACAATACTAGAAGAAAGATTAGGAAACACTCTTCTGGATACTGGCATAGGCAATAAACTCATGACCAAGACCTCAAAAGCAAAAGCAGCAAAAACCAAAATTGGCAAGTACCTAATCAAACTAAAGAGCTCCCGAACAGTAAAAGGAACCATCAACAGAATAAATAGACAACCTGTAGAACAGGAGAAAATATTTCCAAACAATGCATATGATGCAGGACTAATATCCAGAATCTATGAAGAACTCCAATGAAATGACAGGAAAGAAAAAACCCCATTACAAAGTGGACAAAGGACATGAACAGACACTTCTCAAGGGAAGACAAACAAGTGGCCAACAAATATATGGAAAAATATTCAGCATCACTAATCATCAGAGAAATGCAAATCAAAATCACAATGAGATACCATCTCACATCAGTCAGAATGACTATTATAAAAAAGTCAGAAAAACAATAAATGTTGGTTAGGTTGCAGAGAAAGAAAACAGACACTCCTACACTGTTGGTGGGACTGTAAGTTAGGTCAATCCATGCGGAAAGAAGTTTGAAAATTTCTCCAAGAACTTGAAATAGATTTATCATTTGACCCAGCAATCTCACTTCTGGGTATACATACAAAGGAGCATAAACCACTCTACCAAAAAGACACCTGCACTAGTATGTTTATGGCAGCACTATTCATAATAGCAAAAATGTGGAACCAACCTAGGTGCCTATCAGTGGTAGACAGGATAAAGAAAATATGGTACATATACCCCATGGAATACTATACAGCCATGAAGAAGAAAGAAATCGTGCCCTTTGCAACATGGTGAATGCAGGTGAAGACCATTATTCTAAGTGAATTATCAAAGAAACAGAAAACTAAATAACGTATGTTCTCACTTTAAGTGGGAACTAACCACTGAATACACATGGGTATGTGTGTATGGGAACAACAGACATTGGAGAATCCTAAAGAGGGGAGAAAGGGAGAGAGGGAGGGATTGAAAACCCACCCCATTGGGTACCATGCTCATCCACCTGGGTGATGGGCTCAATGGAAGTCCAACCCTCACCAACTCACAATTTATGTATTCAATAAACAGGGACATGTACCCTTTGAATTAAAAAAAAAAAAAAAAAGAACTAGGACTATAGTTACAAAATTAGTAAATAAAACCAATTGTTAATTCTCAAAAGTTAGAAAAATATATTTTCCCTTTGCCTTTTCCAAAACATTTTTTCTTTTATTTTTCTTCTTAGTGTGCTATGTTATACCTCAGATGTTTAAAATAATTATTTCACATAGATTTATGTTCTCTGTTCCTAATATAAAAGTAGGTAGAATGTTCAGATCCTGGAACAGAGTTTATAAATCGCTTAATTTCCTATTTCTTAGAAGAAGAAGCAGACACTGGGCATTTAAAACTTTTATTTAAAATCATAAATGAACTTGATTTTTAACTAATGTGGCCCATTGTATTTGTTTCTTTCTTATGGAAAGGAAGTTGCACTGAGTAAAGCAGTATTAATGAAAACTCATAACAAGAAATCAGGTAACTAATGGACTTTCAAATTGGGTAGGCAAATTGTGTCTTAGGTTTATTTTTCATTGTGTCCTTACCTTTTTCTTGTTCACCGAAGACCTGGAACAAATTAGTGAGGTTTTCAGTTTTAGACAGCACCTCCTGGTATGTCCCCATGTGTGCTATTCTCCCACTTTCCGTTACAACAATAAGATCCATTTGTGGCAGAAGAGTGAGGTTGTTTGTCACCAAAATTCGAGTCTGAAAAAAAGTGTTTTATTCCACAGGTTACAAAAAGTGGCACAAATGATCTGTTTTGATGAACACTGCACCCATTTTTTTGTCTTTACTATTTCAGAGTGTATTATTTGGAAGATGCCAGTTTAAGGCAACATTTATATATTTTGCAGTGAATGATGACATGCCATTAGATGAGAAAACAGCTTGCAAGTGTGATTTTAACCCTTTGGTTTGGATTTTTTCATTAGTTAGAAATAAATCAACTTTATAGTAAATTCAAAACAATTTCAGATATGTCATTCTTGCTTACATTTTAAGTTGTATGTTACCATTACAAAAAAGTATTTGATGCAAATTATAATTCATAGTCTTTATTTTTAAATATTTTATATTGCTTTATACATACATATGTATATAATTGAATAGACATTTTAATCTTGAGTTTATCTCAATAAAGACATTTGTATATTAGTTGCTCAGACATATTTTATAAGTGTATACATTGTTTTCCATAGCGATCTATATTAATAAATCCATAAGCACATATTATGAAAGAGTGACTATGGCTTTGTAAGACAGACTTTTGTAAATCTCTGTTGTTCTTAAGTTGAGTAACCGATATCAAGTCATGTAGAACCCTGCGTTCCTTCATGTGTAAAATAGAAATAATGATAATAACTATCTCAGAGACTTGCTATAAGAATTAAATGAACTAATTTAAAGTGCCAGATATGGCATGTACTCGGTAGATATTAATCTCATCTTCTTAGCCCCTTCACAAAGCAGTTGAATCACTATTATTGCTATGTTAATAATACCAAATTTTAAGTTCTAAATAATAAATAAAATGATTCTACTTTTAAAAAGTAGTATGCTTCAAAGTATTATTTAAAGAAAAAATAAACTGAACCAAAACCAACTCATTATGACCTATAAACTACCTTCGGATATGCTATTAATTGATAAGATAACAATCATGTAAATCATCACCAGAATAAACTTATAAGTAAAACTTTAAAAAATATTCATTGAAATTTGTCTGTAAAAGAACACTATAAGTGTCTCATTTTTTTCATATGAAATTTGACTACTTTGTTTAAACAAATAAACCAATGGAATTTTAAGCACAGTGCTAAACAGATTATTCTTCTCCACATTTCCTAAGAAAGCATAAATGAAACTCTGGCTACCTTGTTTATTAAAAGCCCCGAAGAGCCAATCACTTTTTCAAAAAGCTGCTTTCCGACATGAACATCCACCGCAGACAGGGGATCATCCAGAAGGTAGATGTCGGCTCCACTGTACACAGCTCTGGCCAGACTTATTCGATGCTTCTGGCCTCCACTTATGTTCACACCCTAAAAACGAAGCAGAAGAAAACAAGACCGGAGAAATAAGTGTGCACATCTCAAAGCACATGCAGCTACTCCAAATGCTTCTTCTATAGCATGGATAGGATCACAACCCAAGATGGATACTCATGCCTTTATCCATGACTTCCTAGGCCAATTCTAATCCCATTTCCAAGAACTACTAACTTGCGCAAATTAGCAGACATGTCTACTTTCTCTCAACTGCTTACTCTAAAAAGATGTGAACAATTAAAGAGAAAAGAATTTGAAATCCTTAACTCTGAAAATTCAGAGACTATTAAACATTACTTTTGGCTGCCAACCATATACTGACACTAGCGATTATTTTTAAATTGACACATAAGAAATTGAGAACAAAAGCCAAATTACCAAAGTGGTAATCAACATGTCCTATTTTCTTCTGTAAAAAGATTAGTACAAGTCTTGTTGGCAAACGTACAACTCTAAGAAGCAAGAAAAAGGAATATTCATCATTCCATATGAGAATTAAAGTTGACATATGCAGTCATGTATGAAGAATTATGGGGCAAGTCCCAATTTACTTGATTTATTTTATATTTAGTGTTTATAGATCTGGTTTAAAATCTCTCAGTGTAGCACAGAGCTTAGCCAATGACCTATAATTATAAAATGTCATTGCTTCTTTGCATTTTTCATCTTTCCCCTCTAATCAACAAATATCTTCTGAGTACGACTATATTCTGGATGTTATGACAGCACTTGGGATTCAAAGACAAGTGAAACAGAGTCGCTGTCATGAAGAGGTCACAGTTTAGCAGGAGATATAACAAAATGAGCACTATATGTGTGTATATATATGTGTGTGTGTGTGTATGTGTGTATGTATCTCAATGTGATATGTGTGTGTGTATGTCTCTGTGATTATAATGGCACTTAACTCATGGGTTTCTTGGGATCATTCAATAAGGTTAGAGGACAAATATTTAGGAAAAATCCAACATTGAGTATGGACACAATCAACATTAGCTATTATTAACCAAACATCCCTTTTTCTAATCCGTCCTCTGCCTTGTCGTCACTTTTTCTATTACTATGCCATCACCTTGCTTAAAACCTTGAGTACTTACATCTCCCTCTTTTCATCACTCAAAAGGAACAGCACATTCCTTGGTATAAATCTAAGATACTTACATTCTGGCATTAACTCATCTCTTCAAACACTCTCCCAATGCTGCCCTATAGTGACCCTCGTTTGTCAATCAGATTAACTTTCCCTTTCATACCTGGCAGAGGCTGTACTCTACTTAGAAGACCTCATTCTTCCTTTTAAATTTGAGGGTCTACTCAGGCTAAAATGACCCCCTTGAAATCAACACCCTCCCTGCCTGCATTGTTCCTAGTGAAGTGACTCATTTACCCCCTTCTTGTCTGCAGTGCTCTTATTTGTCTCATTGCTAGAATTGACAATATCCATGTCAGTCTCTCTCACTAGCCTACAAGCCCCTACCTAGTTTATCTTTGAACTCCCAACATCTGGTGTCTGACACTAGATGATTGATACATATTGGTAAATGCGGGGGGCCAGCCCCTGCAGAGAGATTTAGGGGGTCCCTTGGAAGGTGTGGCAGCATCAGCGATTATTCTGGAGCAATAAAGAGAAAGAAAGAGAAGAGGGGAGAAAGAGACTGGACTCCTGCTCAGGTGACCAGAAGCCGTAATCTCAGGGCTTTTATCCCCAAACTCTGCAAAGTCATCATCACAGGAAACAAAGGTAGCATGTGCCTTTCACATGAACAGGTCCAGGTGTGCAAAGGACACCCCCCACTCTCAAGTAAATGTTCTTTCATACATAAGGAAGGACATGAGGAAGAACATGAGGAAGAACACACACAAATTGTCTTTTTGTATCTTATGCTAGCTTAATGTTCCCCAAACCAGTTTCTTATGTGCCCTTAATTGTATTACAACTACATCACCTTGAATTAGCATCACTCAATGTCTAAACACAAAACCACCATAGTGAATTATTAACTTCCACTATTATGTACTAATTCAAACTAGTTTTTATTAAAACAATTGCTGCTATGGTTACACTCTCCTAGCACCAGCTGGCCTAATTCAAACTTCACTGGCCCCCCCCTAAATCAAACTGAACTAACCATACTTCTACAATAAAATGGTTACTTAAATTTTCTTAATCTGTATAAACTATTTTCTAAAACCTATATCTATAAATTTCTAAAGGTTGCATCAGGAGAACCTGTGACCTGCACTAAGCCTCCTCAATGTGACTCAAAGTCAAACTTAAATTGTGATAAAGCAAAAGACCATAAGCCGTGGGGAATGGGAACAATAGACTCCTAGGTTTAACTGTGTACGTTCCAGCCTCAGAGTTTTCTGTTAGAGCCAGCTGGAGCTTTTCTTGGTAGTTTGTGCCAAATAGAAAAGGAAGGAGGGAATGGGTCAACAGTTCCTGAACACATCCTAGTGGTCTCGGGGTCAACGGCCCTTCCTGATCCCTAACGCTCAGTGGGCCTCTGTGGCCAGCTCCCAACAGGTAAAGACAACTTATTAACATCATTGGCAAAAGCCCGCTAGACTGCAAATCCCTGTAAGGTAGGGTAACAGTTTTCTCACTTAGCATTCTGTACCCCATAGCAGAAAAAGGTTATGTAAGAAATTGATAAATAACTTGTGAATAAATTGAATAACGCAAAAGGAAGAGATGAATAAAAGTGAAGGAAAATTCTGCATTGATTGCCTTTGTTTTTCCACAAACAGCTGTAAACAGATTTCCTTTTGAAATATTCAAATACATGTTTAAAGTACAAGATCAGACTGGGATAAATTTAATTGTAAAAAGAAGAAATTATAAATGACAAGATAATTTAAGCTATATTAAATTTACACTTCCACATTTTAATTTTTTGCTTACAACATTCTTTATAGAAGGGAGGGGTTCAGGATGGCTGACTAGAAACAGCCAATGTGGCCCTCTCTCACAGAGAAGAACCAGAGGAGGAAGAGAGTTTCAACACCCCAAGCAGGGTATCCAAGAGTGAACTCTGGCATCCCAGAGAAGCAGTGGGACCCATGGAAAGCAGAGCAGAGTGAAGTCAGACAGCCTGCAGAGTTGGACCCAGTGTGGAGCCACGGGAGTCCCTTGATGTGGTGAAGGCATGATTAAGTAAGAAAGCCCTGGAACCCCACACCACTGCCACAGGAGAGCATTCATGATCTGAGTCACAGGAGAGCATTCATGATTCCCCAGACCCCTAGGTCCACATAGAGACTCTCCTGGTAACTGAAAAGAGGCACAGTCCAAGCCCATGTGGAACCCTTTAGGCCACTGATTCCTGTGCAGCTGGTCACCAGCTGCCACCACCCACCAAAGAGGAACACTCTGCATTTTTCTGAGAACAGTCAACCCCTTACCGCTGCTGCAGCCACCACTGCTGGTGACCCTAGGCCAGGAAGAAAGCAGCCCAGCTGACTGACAGTGTGCATCTGCAGAGAGCATGAGGACCTCACATCTGCCTGAAGCCTGCTGCAGGGATCTGTCCTCAGGGAGGTCAGGCACAATTTCTTCGATGGGCCCTTTGTGGCAGTCATCTGCTGCTCCTAAAGCCCTCTGTCCCTGTTAGCCATGGCCAGAGAGGGAACAGTGGCACCAGGTATTTGTGTGTGCTCTCCAACACAGAATCCAGAGCTGAAACTGTGGCATCACTGCTGCTATCAGTCCTCACTTTTGAACACCATCTTTTGTTAGATGAACTACACCACCTAACACAAACCACTACAAGTAGTATCATGAGACAGTCACTGTGTGACCCTAGTTGCAACTAAGGAAAATGTCCAGGGCACTGACCCTCTGAAAGCACCCAGGAATGAATCCAATCTACCATACAAATCATATACCACAGCTACACCAATAGGAGAAAAAAATAAGAAAAAAGTAAAAAAAACCTCATCTCAATGATAGCAAATGGCAAAAAGAAACAGAGAGAAGCACTTTCACTGGGAAGAAATCAGCACAAGAACTCCTGTAGCACAGAAAGTGTTTTGCTGCCCCAAATAATTAACCAGTTCCCAAGCCATGGCTCTTAATCAGAATAAATTGTCTGTAATAACATATAGAATTCAGAAAGTAGATGGCAAAGAAATTCAATGAGATCAAAGAGAAAGTGGATGCCCAAAATACAAAAAGTCATGAAAACAGTCCAAGAATTGAAAGGTGATATAGTCATTCTAAGAAAGAACAAAACTGAACTTCTAGAACGGAAGAATCCACTCTAGGTGGGTTTTCATTTTAAAGCACAGTCACAAGCCTTAAAAACAGACTAGACCAAGCAGAAGAAAGAATTGCAAAACTTGAAAAACAATCCTTCTCATCAAACTAGTAAGACAGAGATAAAGAAAAATAATTTTTAAAAATGAATAAAGTTTTTAAGTAAAAAATTTTGTAAAGAGACCAAGCCTACTTCTGCTTGATATTTCTGAGAGAGAAGGAGAGAATGGAAGCATTCTGGAGAAAGTATTTGCAGACTTAATCCAAGAAAACTTCCCTTATCCTGCTAGAAAAGTCAACTGAGCCGGGCTCAGTGGCTCAGCCTGTAATCCCAGCGCTTTGGGAGGCCAAGGTGAGTGGATTGCCTGAATCCGAGGGTTTGAGGCCTGCCCGGGCCACTTGGCGAGACCTTGTCTCTACAATAAATAAAAAAAATTAGCTGGGTGTGGTAGCGTGCACCTGTAGTCCCGCTACTTGGAAGGCTGAGGTGGAAGGATTGCCAGAGCCCAGCAGGTCGAGGCTGCGGTGGCAGAAAGCATGCCACTGCACTCCAGTCTGGGCGACAGAGTGAGACTCTGACTCAAAAAAAAAAAAAAAAAAAGTCAACTGATATACAGATCAAGAAATTTAGAGAAGCTCTGTGATATACTATACAACATGACCATCCTCAAGGTACATACTATCCAAGATGAACACAAAATAAAAAATCTTAAAGGCAACTAGAAAGAAGGGACAG